ACACACACACACACACACACACACACACACACACACACACACACACACACACACACACACACCTGTGAGCGTATTTTACCTGTCCTCTCTCTCCCAGCTGTTTCCGTCAGTAGGCCATATAGAAGATACGCAAAAGGTAAAGCTAAATTTACATAATTTCTTCAAAGCGTTCTCACGGTATGTTATTTGATGTTGCGCACGTATGATACACGACTCATGCCCGTAGCCAGGGGGGGTTCGGGGGTTCGGAAGAACCCCCCTACAAGGCTCAAAGGTCCACTTTTTGGTCCACTTCTTATGTAAAGGTCCGCTTTTTGGTCCACTTTTTATGTAAAGGTCCACTTTTTATGTAAAGGTCCAAGATTTTTCCTGAAAAGATGTACTGGAATCATAGAAAACTGCTCCCTTTCTCATGGAATAAAAATTTATCTCTTGGAAATCCACGAAATGCTATTTTAGAAGGTTCATTTTTCAAAATTTTCCGGGGAAGCATGCCCCCGGAACCCCCGAGGAACCTCGCGCCTTCGGCGCTCGAGGTCCCTCAAGCAGTGGGAAGAACCCCCCCCCCCATTCAAAATCCTGGCTAGGGGCATGCACGTAGTGTTCCAACTTTGGTAGGTTCTACATGTACCTTGAACGGAGACATCAGGGATGGATTCTTCTTCTCCGCTCTTTCCTGTCCTCCATCAGTGAGTGGAGTTCTGCTGTGCTGATGTTTCTGAGCCCAGCATCCCGCTTCTACATGTAGACTCCGATAATCCACCCTGTTTTTGCTCACCCCATGTACTCGCACTTAGCCTCCTTCGCAGACTTGTGCTTCGGCGGTGCTATTCTTATTTTTTTATCTTTTTTTTTCTCGCTCTACTTCTTTTCTATTCATTAATACCCAGCTTTATTCACCTTCCCAGCCTACAAAAAACTGCATTTCTATTAACACCTTCCAATTCATATATCTCGCAAAATGTCGGCCATTTCATACTCCACTGCACATGGAAAAGAAATCAAACCCAACAATAACTACAAATGTATATATAAAGTAGCATTAGCATCACTTATTATCATTCTACTGTTTACTGTTGTTATCATGTTCTTGCAATTAGCCCTCGGGCATGAATTTGCAATAAACTTTCTATACTATTAATGTTAGTACATGGAAACAATGAAATTTAGGCCTGATAAAAAAATTTCTATTTGTATCCCTCCCACTCTGCAATCGGCGTTTCACCGTTGCCCGGAAACTGACGCCACTCAAATTTGTTCACAATTTATCTGTCTGATTTTAAATGTCCCTTGTCTCTGTCCACACAATTTCGTGATATTTATAGATATCACGGACGAGATAAGGACAACATCACCCTTTTTATAGCCTTTCCTGTGTATATCGGAATTATAAATGTCAAAATATTGGTCAAAAGTCATCTACCCGATCTTCACACACATTGGCAGGGTACTCCAACCTCTAAAGTGTCTATTCATAGCCTCCACCAGGCCTTTCTAAGGGAATATGAATCGTAGAATTCGGCGAAAAAAGAGAGTAAAATTGGCCAAGGGATTCCGGCCGCGGGGAGGTCGTTTCTTTGCGCGGCCAGTCAAACCTACAAGGCGGCCAAACTCCCCTGGCGAATATTGTCCTATATATAGCGAGCGTAGCCTGGTAGAGACTATTTAAGTATTTATTTTATTTAGTCCAAATTTAGAATATTCTATACGCTGACCCATGGTGGAAGATTACATATGATGTTTGTTTTTATTTTTGGCATGAATAAAGATTATGCTGTTGAAGATTACGTTTTTTAAATTTTGTGTGAGTGGAATGTGATACAACGATTCTACTGGATATTCTTTTTTAAGGCCATGTTGATTTGATTATATGGATGACATCCTCCGGGAGCCCCAAAACTGATGCGCGCGTGCGAATAAAAAAAAAGTTTTGCAAAAAAAAAAGCTCTTTTCATTATGAAATCTACGTGGTCATGAGGGTTGAGCAAATGGCACAGAATATGGTTTGGCGAATAATCTAGTCTTCAAGTTCATTTCTTTACAATTTCATCTTTTTTCGTTTGATTTTGGCATTCTACGACATTGGTATAGTTTTTAGTAATTTTTTTTGTAACTTGTGCTATATTTTTGCTCATTTTGCAACTGTTTTGTACGATTTACAGTATGGTTGAAAACTTTTTTTTTGGGGGGGGGGGGGACGGCCGAAAATTCTTGCGCACGCGGATGTCATCCATATAATCAAATCAACATGGCCTAACCTGGAATACAAATTAGCATTCTTCCGATAGATGGAAGGGGTGGGGATGGAATGCCCATGTTGGGGGGGGGTGTATATTGAGTGAGGAGGGGGGATAACGTTGGTTTCCTTGACTACAACCCGTACACAGACTGTAGTCTCCACCAGACTCCTTTGCAAGCTGAATACAAAAAATCGGCCTAAAAGGAATGAAACTGGGGAGTTAGCCGATCGTAGAGGATCAAATTTGACCGTCTATGGCCGAGCTACTTTCAAGGACAAAACGACGAAACAGACCTCCACACGCATTCATAGACAGTACATAGAGGTACATCTGCTAAAAAGGTTTATTCCGAAGAAAAATCGTACATTGGTATTTGCAGAACGTCAAACATAGCACAAAATGCTTATTCCCGCTTAAGGCCTACTTTTAGGGACACAAAACAAGAACCCAACCTCTACAAGCATTCATTTGATAGACAATGCAAAGAGTTACCTGTGTCATGACATGATTAACTCTGTCAAGATTTAATTAGATAAATGTTATATATATATACATATATTTATCTTGAATATGAATAAAATCATATATTACATCAAACGCAAGACTTGTTTGACCAGTTACCATGGCAACGATCTGTTTTGACCGGAAAGAAAGCTATTTTGAGGAATTGTGGGTACTATCACTGCAAAATCTGAGCCAAATCTATTTTTTTTACCTACGCCACCATATCCTTGCAGACATTTGCTGTTAATAACCTATTCTCAAACAACGTCTGCATTATAAGATATCCACCTTAACCCTTAAGCTGCCGGTCCCGGGTATATCCGGGTTCACTATACATCCCCTGTGTGCCATGCCCGGGTATATTCGGGATAGGGTATTCCCCGGGATAACTTAGCACAGCTGCATGTTTCGCGCCCGCCGACCAGGAAGTCACTGGCGGCGGTAAGTGAGGGCAGGTCAGAGGTCAAAGTGGGTTGCGTAATCACCGATTACGTCATCCCACAATGCTTTGCGGCCTATAATTGCCAAGATGGCGGCGGCGTCGTCTGCCGAGGCTTTGTTCTTTTGTTTACGTGTTTTGGGCGGTGAATTTGGACTGTTAACACCAAAATGACGACGTTTACCCTCGAAGAACTGTTGTAGGAGGTCGCTACTGTTGATTTAGCCTATGGTTGACGTATATCTGACGCTGATTCCATTGAGAGTAGTGAAAATGAGACGGATCGTGTTAGCAGACGAGAGGGAATGTGCTCACATGGAACCAGATAGCATTGGTGAATGTGACATCGGCCATGGAACTACTAATGGCCGTGGTCGTGCTAGGGGTAGAGGTCGGGGCCGAGGTCGGGGGTGTGGAAAAGGCCAAACAACAAGGGAACGCGGCACTGACAGGCGAGGTTGCAGCCGGCCAGCTGATGGGGATTTAAATCCCGGAGCCGCCCATCAAGCTGCAACTGATACAAGATTTGATGGCACAAACTGGCAGAGGGGGGATGGAAACAGCCTGACCAAGTCTCCCCATGTTTTCACTGCACAAAGTGGATTTAGTGGCAAGTTTTATTTCTATTTTATAGCAGCTTTTATGTAAAATTTTCCATGGTATAAAGTATAATATTATCTTTTTATTGCTTTTTACCTGTTTATTGCCTTTGTAGTTTATATTGTCAAGTTGAAATATATTCCTAGACATAGTATATACAATAAGCTTTCATATGATATGTAACAAGTATATATACCATCGATCACATAGGTACAGGAAGGAATGTATTATGTTGTATACATTAGTTGGTTCAGCACCAAGGACAATATCCATCATAAACTTACCTGTAATGATACCTGAGTGCTGTATTTTTACTTGTATGTAGTTCTAATAGTGTCAGGACATGTCAGGATCTGTTAAGTCAAGGCCCAAGTCATTCTGTGGTTGCTTATTGTTGATTGTATGGAAACAAGGTGGAAATTGTACATTTTATTG